CCCCTCTGGCCAACACCAGTAGGCGGTAGGTGAAGTGTCTTGCCCAAGGACACAACGACCAGGACAGAGAGCTCAGGGATCAAAACGGCGACCTTCCAGTTACAGATACGCTTCCCAACCCCCTGAGCCATGGTCGCCCACTTCTTCCCTCCATATGTTTTGTTTATACTGGGGAATGAGGAAGATGGCGTTCCTCATTCCCCACTATAAACAAAACGTTCCAGTGCAAATGCCCCTGACAGTGAAGGGCAGTCACGGCAGCCTCCAGCAGCCTATGACACTGGAGAATGGCTCTGTGCAGTCTGTTCAGGGTTGTCTGGATAGAGAGCCTTCGGCCACATCATCCTGCAAGCCTTGATTACCAATTTGACGATTGGCTATGGTTCCTAAATGCTGATAGGTGTGGAAATGGGATTCTTATGTTGTTGTCTTCTTTGGACACCTGCTTCACAGTCTGTCTCTGACATCCCCCATTATATGGAAGTTGAACTTCATTTTGGACATGGTTCTAGGGATCATTCCAAATAATGCTGCAATTTGGTTTTGTGGAACACCAGCTTGAACTTGTCCAATGACAGGGCCCTATCCAGTCAAAGATGGGACAGACGGACAAACACCAGCTGACTACTTTAGCAGGGTTCATGTTTGAATGCTGCAGGCATCAATCAGGCACCTGACTGTCAGCACCTGTGATACCAGCAGCTCAAAACAAGGCCCATTAGCAGAATAGGTTGTTGGGATTGACAGGGAAGATTTGTAAGTTTTGCATGAGTGTGACCCACATACTTAACTCTGCTGCTGCTCAAACCATAAATGCATTTTCCTTACAAATGTGGCACCTTTTAAGGGAAACGGGGCTTTTCCCAGATTTAATGCAAATAAGCATTGTTCAAACAAACAATGATTAAGTGACCCTGACCAGATGATGTTTTGGCCTTTCTCTCTCTGACTTGCTTGTTTACCTTTGTCTGTGTGTTTAAAACATTATATAAAGTAGAGGCTAGAAGGACTTTGTTTGGTCTAAAACTTAAAGGCAAGAATTTATTATTCATCTGCTAATAAAAGATGTTGTTGGTAACTTATTTTTATTTCATCTGGTTCCAGTTTCCATACATAACATGTATGTGTGACGAGGTGCAGCTAGACTGTACAATACAGGAGGTAACCTAAAAGCTTTCACTTTGGTTCTATTTAATTCCGTTTGATTTTAATTATATAGCATCAAATCACAACAAAGTGCTTCAAAGTGCTTTATATTGTAAGGTAAAGACCCTAGAGTTGTCAAGAACCGTAGTTCTAACACGCAAGCTGGACCCAGAAACAAACACAGTACGCAGGAAATGCACGCAGAATAAACTTTATTTCTTAACTAAAGGTGACCCGGAATAACCAAAGGGAAATGTTAGGACAGAAGAGACCGGGAGATAAACGATTCGGGAACGCCGTGATCAGGACCGTGGGAGGCTGCAACAGAAAAGGGAGAGAGTTACTGGGGAGCAGGGACATACAACAGGGTAGAGCTATTTATCTTGCGATCGGGGCCAGATGGTGGGGACTGGAGGGAGGAGTAAGTGTCGGCGGGAGAGGATTCCAAGGAGACGGAGAGGATGATGACAGGGTGTTTATCTGAACTCCAGGCGGGCAGGAGGACAGGCAGGTGAAGGCTCGAATACGCCAGACAATAACCACTGAATGGTGACTGACGGACTGGTGTGGACCAGCCGGCCGTGTGGGGTTAAATAGCCCTCCTGATGATCGCCTGGAATGGGATGCAGGTGTGAAGACGACAGCCACACCCGTAGGCGTGGGCATCCCCACCGCTCCTCAGACACCGAGCCGTGGACCATGACAAGAATAATACAAAGAGAAACAGAGAAACTCCAACAATCAAATGACTGCCTTTGAGCAAGCACTTTGGTGACAATCAGAAGAGAAAACTCTCTTTTAACAGGAACAAACTTCCGGCAGGACCAGGCTCTGTGATAAGACTTGACCTTCACGGCTAAAGAAGTGCAGGAGACAGATGCTGTCCAGTGTAGCAAGTGATTTATTCACCATTTTGTGACCCAATATTTACAAAAATAAATAAAAAACTGATTAACTTAGGTCAAATAAACATAACTGAACTTAAATCAACAGAAATTAAGGTCAAACTGCACAAAGCTACACTGACCATCTGCATTCCTCTGCGTAAAGTCCACTCACCCCTGCACTATTCCATTAGGTAGGTGAGACGAGCATTTCAATACTCAAACCTATACTGCTACTCCTTCCTAGCAATAAAACTCTACGGTGTACTCAATACATATTGCACCAATAATCCTTATCTGTATAAACACAGTCTAAAATCAGCTTTATTAAATTACAAAGATTTTCCCCCTTCTTCACCTGGTCTCTTCCTGTGACCTCAGAATAACCAGGAAGCTATACATATAGAAAGTAAAACTATATTTCCTCTTTTGTTCCTGGAACACAGGTAGGTAAGGTGAGTCCTAACTAAACCAATTAACAGTTGAAATAGATAACATGTTAACTTAACAAACTTTTCGGAATTGATTTAAACCAAGATGTTATGTTACATAATCTGTAAAAGTGCAAAACATAAATAGTAGATGTTTGCCTATTGCAAACTACATATGAAATGTGGTTAAATCAAAACAAGAATGTTAACTGAGAATATGGACAAATGGTGTTCTCACCCACTTTGTCACAAGGAGATGAAGACAAAAAAAAAAGACACACAGAGATTACTAAAAACTAATGATTAAGAGTGGTGTATAAACACATAGTAATGGAAAAGAGAAACAGTGCATCATGGGATTCCCCCAGCAACCTACACCTATCCGATCTTCAAGTGATGACGTGATCAATCCTGCTTCCGAGTTTAATAATCTGTTGTCTTTTTAAAATATTTAAAATATTTTGTTTTGTATCTTCTTCTATTTAATCTCAACACGACCCTCAAAACAGTGATCACTGTCTGCCTCTCTCGGTTTTTATTACCACTGTTCATTTTAAAACGTTGTTTTTAAACCCGTACAATGTAACTACAGCCCAGCCCATGCAGCAGTATATTAATGACTAACCTCTTATATAGTTAACCTCACGTTAACTTTTATTGAGTGGAAAAAAGTTAGCGTTCATCCTCCAGCTTCGCTGTGTTTATGCTATGCTAACATGGCTGTATCGCTAGCGATCACGTAGCACATCATTATATGCCAGCTAGCCCAACTTCAGTAACCCTGCAAACGTCATTGCTGTATAGTTTTCTGTCTTCATTTATGTCAGAAGTGATAGCAGAGCTGTATATTTTAATTTTTTCAGAAATCTGTCAGTCAGAACATGCTATATCATGTTTAGGTGGAAGCTAGCGAGCTAACTTCCTGCTAACTTCTAACTCTGTTAAATTTCATAAATTCTGTTTTCATGGATGCCTGGATGTTAAATTTAATTGTCACACCTGGTAAAACAGCAACACTGATCATTTTATTAAAGATGAAAGAATTTAGACTGTTTTTACCTCTCAGTAGTGATGGGATTTCCGGCTCTTTTTAGAGAACCGGCTCTTTCGGCTCCCAGCCGGCTCTTCAGGTTGTTTTGTTGCTTTAATTAATTTATTAATAACAACAATATAAGATTATGAACAAAAGGAATTACTAATGTAAAAAAGAAACCCGTGGTTTTATTTATATATGTTTATATATAAATATATATACGGTGGCCCCTAGAGACAAAACACGTACAAACTCCAAAGCACATTTCTAGCGTTAACTGA